GAGCCTGACTAGTGAAAGCTATAGGTTTTCCTTGCTGTTGGAAGACTGCCCTTATGCCATTGCTTGAGGCATCACATTCCAACTCGAATGATAATGCAAAGTTGGGAAGAGCAAGGACCTGTGGGGAGGATGTGGCACTTTTGAGAGTTTGGAAAGCTTCATCAGCTTTGGGAGACCATTGGAACCCATCTGTTTTAGTTAGAAGGTACAATGGTTGGCAGATTTTGCCATAACCTGGAACAAATTTCCTATAATACCCAGTAAGCCCTAAGAACCCCCTTAATGACTTCACTGTAGTGGGCACTGGCCAATCTACAATGGCCTGATTCTTAGAAGAGTCAGCCTCAACCACATCCCTTGAAACTATATGGCCCAAGTACTTAATCCTATTCTGCCCAAAAACACAGTTCTGTTTTTTGACATATAACTGATGCTCATCTAATACCCCAAATGCAGCGGACAGGTGAGATAGGTGGTCTTGCCAAGTTTGACTATACACTAGGATGTCATAAAAAAAGACAATAATGAACTTTCTCAGGTAGGGTTTAAAAATGTCATTCATGAGGTTCTGGAAGGTGGCAAGTGCATTGGTGAGTCCAAATGGCATAACTAAGAATTCATAATGGCCTTCATGGGTGAGTCCAAAAGGCTGTTTTTGCAATGTATGCAAAGTGCATGAGGATTTGGTGGTACCCGGACCTCAAGTTTAGTTTAGAAAAGAACTTAGAATTTAACTCATCAAGAAGATCATCAATGAGATGTATAGGATATTTATCTTTGATGGTTATATAATTTAACTCTCTATAATCCATACAAAGCCTCCAAGATCCCTCTTTCTTTTTCACCAAGAGTACAGGACAAGAAAATGGACTATGGCTAGGTCTAATGAACCCTAAGTCCAACAGTTCTTGCACAACTTTCTCTATCTCTATCTTTTGGAGGGGTCCATAGTGATAGGGCCTAATGTTTGTGGGTTTAGCATCAGATAGCAAGGCTATTGTATGGTCATGAGCTCTTGGGGGTGGTACTTGGGGTGAGACAAAGATCTGCACAAGTTTTCCCAATAGTTCCTGTAATTCAGCAAGCTGGTTCGATTTCAAATCACATGTCTCTATTTTGGAGTGCTCCATAGAGTAGAGAAACAACCCCAAATTAGAGCTCAAAATGTCCCTATCAAGCTATTGCAAAGAGATTTCTTGAATCAGAGGTTGGACTCTCTAATTGTGGAAGAGTTTGTGCTGAGTATTGCCTTTAGAGAATTCTAAAGTCATGAGATGAAAGTCCCAGAGCACATGACTGATAGAGGAAAGCCACTGGACCCCTAGAACTATATCACAACCCCCCAGAGGCAAGGACAATAGATCAACCCTGCACTCATACCTGCCAATCGACAGTTGAGCATCCTTATTGCACCCAGAACTGTTTACTTTACCCCTATCAGCAATCACCTCAAATTGCTTAATGGGATGTGACTGCCAACCAAAATTTTTAAACAACCGAGAATCAACAAAGTTGTGTGTGTTACCTGAGTAAAGAAGAATGGTAACAGATTGGCCATTAACTAGTTCATCAACCTTCATAGTGTGCACATTCTGCTTAGCAAGTGTGTCATAGTATGCACATTCACTAAATGACATTATGCTGTAATTCGGGTTGGCATTCCCCAATAGGTTCTATGGTGAGGTCATCCTCAGGGTGAACAAGATCAAGCATAAGAAGTTGGCCTTTAGTGCATTTGTGTCCCCTATTCCATTTCTCATCACAAAACTAGCACTCTTCCTTCTCATGTTTTCTGTGTATTTCTTCTGGGCTAAGTTTCTTCATGGGCAAGGGATGTGATATGGCAATAGCTGATTTTTTTTTTGTTTTGGAGGGGGGGGGGGTGTTTTGGGTTTTGATGTTTGGGGTATATGGAGGTTTAGGTGGAATGGTAGGCTTACTGTAAGCTCCCTTCATATCACAAAATTTAGCATCGAATTGGAGTGCAAAAGCCATAGATTCATGAACATTAGGAGGGCACAAGAGTTTAACATCATATTTAAGCTCTTTCTTTAAGCCACCAATAAAACAACTCTTAAGCAAAATAAGGCCTACATCTGAAGTTTGATTAGCCAATTTACGAAAATCAAAGATATAGTCCTTCAAGGTACCTGTCCGGCAAAGTTTGAAGAGTGCCTCAACACTATCTTCAAACTCAGAGGGGCCAAACTCGCGGCAGAAAGCAAGAGTAAAATCCTCCCAATGCGGTGTTGATTGTAAGCAATTCATCCACGGGAACCATTGGAGGGGCTCTCCATCCAAGTGGAAAGAGACAGTAAGCACTTGCTGATGCGCTGATGTGGAGTAATAGGCGAAGAACCACTCGGCTTTGTACACCCAAGCTGAGGGTCATCCCCCGGTGTGAAATGGGGAAAATCAATGGGATGTTGCCAGTGAGGCCAAGGATTGGATCCCCTGCTGTCGAAGCTCTGGCTCGGTGGAGAGCGAATGAAGTCACTGTCACGAGGATCGGTTGGATTTGGTAAGGTATAAGACGAAGCGCCAACGAGGCCAAAGCATGCGATCTCACGGCGAAATTGCTCAAAAAAAAACCAGTCATCTTGGATTCCATGGAATCGGAAAGGGCAGCTACGTTAGCTTCCAGAGAGCGATGCTGGCGTCCATGGCGGAAGGTTTGTTGTGGGGCCTGCAAGAAGGGAAACCAAGATCGGGTGTGGGTGATACCAATGATAGCAACCAACTATAGTTCCTGCTTCAACCTTAACAATTGCAGCAATGGGAGAATCGCAAAGGTGGAAGAAGAGAGAAATGTATTTTTAATTAATAAAAGTTCATAACCGTTACAAGAGAGAGAGAGAGAGAGGGAGAGAGAGAGAGGGAGGGAGCTATTGACCTATTTAAAGACTCAGTCCCACCAAGGTGCCAGCTGGACATTCCACTAACTAACAAACTAACATAACAGTAATTTAAATTGCTTAGTATTAGTGAATAAGTAATTCACTGATCCTGTCACCCTGAAATTGATGCAAGGGAGCCCAGCGACCGCTGTTTTTCAGCCTGAGAAACCGAGGAGCTAGCTTGGCGAACAGTGGGCAAATGGTCTAACTAGAGAATTTGATCCCGAATATCGAGGAAGACTTATTAAGCCCCATGAGAAACTGCTTGAGTTGCTGCCGTTCATGCTTGGTGCTACAAGAACAAGTGCGGGGCCCTTGAAAGTTTTCTTTTCCATCTTGACCAAAGTTTTTGTTTTGATTGATTGTCCACAAATAAACGATGGAAGGATGGATGCAACAATAAAAACACAATGACAGTTGAAGCTCCACACACACACTGCGAGTGCGGGGCCCTTCCAGAGTATGATGAAGAAACAAAAGGCAACGCTATGAAGACTAAATTTGCAAATCAAATAATGTGTTTCCAATAGGAAAAGGCACGTTTATTAATACTTAAACAATACTCCAATCGTCGACTTCCTGTACTTTAGTTTACAAAATTTTGTCTATAAATTTAGTCTCTCTAGCATTACCCAAGAAACAAAATACAATTGAGAATTCCAACATTGAATAACACAAACAATTAGGATGAATATCCAAGGTAAAGGCAACAATGTACGTACAAAATCACAAACAGCTCCAAAATATTTGGAAAGCAAGCCAAGTAATTAACTTAAGGCAATTAATTCACAATCTGACGTTTTTCTGGTTACACAACCTAATTAACTGATTATTTGTTGGCCTAGCGCGAAGAAAAGACATAAACCAAATACTGCCACCATCAAACCATCAAATGCAGAGTCAATGGAATCACGGCCAGTCGCGAACCATCAAATTTAAAAGGGCACTTGCCTAGAACCAACTTTCTCGGTAGACTCACGGAAAAAAGAAATTCTCAGTTAGGGATCAACCACTACTCAGAAAACAATTTTAACAAAAAGTCCAACAACAACGATGACAGCAAAATCTTATGTCACTAAGGTCTCGTTTGGCAGCTTCCTGTCGAATAAGATAAATAGTCATCAGATAATACTCACCACTAACTACACACCATCATCTCCATGACTTCTATCCTTTGAAGCCAAAAAAATAAGACATAATTTTCTCCTAATATTGAGTTTAATTACCTCACAGCGTCCGTTTTTCTTAAGAAAAGTATATAGCTGTTTATCTATCAAAACATGAGATTCTTATACTCTATCACGTACATACATTTCTGCTTGAATCATCCCAAACTCTCTTTTAAGGTTCATCTTCTAGAGCTAAAATGACCACAAGTCCTATCATTCCACTAAGATTTAATCACACCGAGAGCTGCTAGATATGTTATGTCAATCCTATTAAATATTAAACAACTCTACCATCCCTTTCCCCAAGTCTCCTGTTACCAAGAAGTAAGAAATTTGCATAGTTCAAGTTAGTAGCTTTAAGGTGTGAACTTACAGCATGAATCTATCACTACCCTCAATGCCCACATCATGGACTTTAGAATCCGAGGCGGCGTTGTTCTTGGCAGTCTCCTGTGAAACACAAATTTACTATAAAACACTAGAGCTCAAAGACGGGTAAAAAACCTAAGAGTCCTAAGACACGTTCACGATATATTTCTTTTGCTAGAGAGGTATTAACAATTAAAAGGATGTCATACAAGCACATTTATTCATCACCTTTTTCCTAGTCATCTAAAAAATCTTCTTTCTTTTGGGTTCAAGATCCCTGCATTTTCTGAGGTACGAAATACTCAGAAATCAAATAAAGTTGCAATCCGTAATATATAACAGAATATCAAACATTAAAATTTAAATAACAAGGAAATGAACAGTCAAGAAGAAACTTACGGTGTGAAGCTGAAATTAATCTCAAATAGCCCATAACCCTTAATGGGCAATTCACAAACACTTGAATTTAATGTCTTCATATGCATGGTTCCATCATGGAAAATTTTGAAAGTGGTGACAAACAGCTCTTGAGACTCATCTTCTCTACAAGTAGCAGCAGCTTGGAGAAGACAAAACTCCAACTTGCTTATGATTTGAATTATGTTTACTAATACTATGATAAATACTGCCGTAAGTTTAAACTAATACATCTGAGATTAAAAGAAAAAAAACATTTGTAATAAATCAAACAATATTTTTGCCAAACATAAATTAATACTGCAACAAGCATTATCCTATTCTATAATTCTAGCGAATGCTTGTCTCATCCAAAACTACCCTTGTAATAACCTCAAGCTTGGACCCTGGCCTGCTTCTCCTTCTGCTTCCATTTGGATGGTTGGTCGATTCAGTTCTTCATTTGATGGCAATAACTCATGCAAATTGCTTAAAAATCCAGGATATAATCTATTGACCTCCTTGTCAAGAAGCTCATAGTTCCCAGAATTGGCACGGTGCACATAGACATTCCTCAAAAACATAACAAGCGTAACCAACAGATGACCTTCGTAAGTTATCCAATGACTTTTCCCATAATCGATAGTGGCTTTTAGGTCTTGACTCATGCGGTTGTACATTCTGGTTGAATTCCAGCCCATATACCCCGAAAAATGACCATCTTTGAAACTCTTTCCAAAGTGATGTTGAGATATAATATTTTGTTCAAAGGCCTGATCTATCCTGAAAAAGTACTTCAGTCTGTTCTGAGAACTCATGAGGAAAGGGTGTCTAATGAGTTTTTCAACATAGCTTTCGAACCTGAGAAAACAAGAAAACATATTTAGAGGGACAGAGAGAAATACATATGTTAGGTGTACTTATTGCATAAATGTTGTCTTGTTCCAGGTGACTAAGGAACGCATGGTTAATTACCCACTCTCTCATTTTTGAATTTGATATCAAGGATTGAGAAACATTTAAAGCACATTTATTTATTCTCTCCTCCATTGATATCAAATGTAACGGTGAGTGACCATGAAATCTTGGTGCCAATAGAGAATGAGACTCATAGACATTATATCAAAGCATTCTTACTCTATAGGTTTGTCGAAGAAATCCAGAAACAAGTTTAGGCCCCTCCATGTCTTTGGCAACCTTTCCCTTAGAAAGTCTCTGAATTGTATGAAGTCGTCCTTCATGCTTGCTTCAGACATGGTAGCATTCTGAGACTTGATGTTTAGAAGTTTTAATTCCCCGTCTTGAATGACATAACTGGAATGCCTGTCCATACCAGAGTGGGTTAGTTTCTGTTTGTGGGTGGACGCAATGCTCTTCAGGATTCTCCTGCAATATTTAAACAACAAAAGAAGAAGGGTAATTACTTGATTGATGCAAATTTATTCAAAAGATATGAAGATAATTCAACAACAGAAGAATAATTACTTGATTGATTTGAGCCACCACATTTGTCGGGACGTTGAATCTGGTATTTCTTTCTTCAAGTCCCAATTGTTGATGTAACAATTGAATTTTTGGTACAATAAGATCCAAACGCCATTTTCCTCGTTGAATGTGACCAAGGAAGGACTCAAGACGCTGTCATGTTTGACTTTACAGGTGAAGAAGTAGTAGTCTTTGGCTTCCTTTGCTTTCAATCCTTTAATACACTTCGCTGTTGTTCTTCTATGGTCTTCAAATGTGATTTTGGATACACCGTTTGTATTGTCATTCACATATGTGACCACGCTTGCACCGAAGATCTCCAAATAGTAACGCACATTTATACAAATGTCGTATAATTTTATGTAAAGTTCTATACCAACACAAAAAAACTAACAAAGTTATGGACACTACATTTATTAGAAAAGGTTTCATATTTGTGAATCTGGCAACCTGCTCGAAAACAATGATACAACCATAAACATAATATATCTACCTTATCCGGATCCGTGTTTGTTCGATCGGCCTTCCAATCGTCGACTTCCTGTACTTTAGTTTACAAAATTTTGTCCATAAATTTAGTCTCTCTAGCATTACCCAAGAAAGAAAATACAATTGAGAATTCCAACATTGAATAACACAAACAATTAGGATGAATAACCAAGGTAAACGTAACAATTTACGTACAAAATCACAAACAACTCCAAAATATTTGGAAAGCAAGCCAAGTAATTAACTTAAGACAATTAATTCACAATCTGACGTTTTTCTGGTTACACAACCTAATTAACTGATTATTTGTTGGCCTAGCGCGAAGAAAAGACATAAACCAAATACTGCCACCATCAAATGCAAAGTCGATGGAATCACGGCCAGTCGCGAACCATCAAATTTAAAAGGGCACTTGCCTAGAACCAACTTTCTTGGTAGACTCACGGAAAAAAGAAATTCGCAGTTAGGGATCAGCCACTACTCAGAAAACAATTTTAACAAAAAGTCCAACAACAACAAAATCTTATGTCACTAAGGTCTCGTTTGGCACCTTCCTGTCGAATAAGATAAATAGTCATCAAATAATACTCACCACTAACTACACACCATCATCTCCATGGCTTCTATCCTTTGAAGCCAAAAAATTAAGACATAATTTTCTCCTAATATTGAGTTTAATTACCTCACAGCGTCCGGTTTTCTTAAGAAAAGTATATAGCTGTTTATCTATCAAAACAGAAGATTCTTATACTCTATCACGTACATACATTTCTGCTTGAATCATCCCAAACTCTCTTTTAAGGTTCATCTTCTAGAGCTAAAATGACCACAAGTCCTATCATTCCACTAAGATTTAATCACACCGAGAGCTGCTAGATATGTTATGTCAATCCTATTAAATATTAAACAACTCTACCATCCCTTTCCCCAAGTCTCCTATTACCAAGAAGTAAGAAATTTGCATAGTTCAAGTTAGTAGCTTTAAGGTGTGAACTTACAGCATGAATCTATCACTACCCTCAATGCCCACATCATGGACTTTAGAATCCGAGGCGGCGGCGTTCTTGGCAGTCTCCTGTGAAACACAAATTTACTATAAAACACTAGAGCTCAAAGACGGGTAAAAAACCTAAGAGTCCTAAGACACGTTCACGATATATTTCTTTTGCTAGAGAGGTATTAACAAATAAAAAGATGTCATACAAGCACATTTATTCATCACCTTTTTCCTAGTCATCTAAAAAATCTTCTTTCTTTTGGGTTCAAGATCCTTGCATTTTCTGAGGTACGAAATACTCAGAAATCAAATAAAGTTGCAATCCGTAATATATAACAGAATATCAAACATTAAAATTTAAATAACAAGGAAATGAACAGTCAAGAAGAAACTTACTGTGTGAAGCTGAAATTAATCTCAAATAGCCCATAACCCTTCATGCGCAATTCACAAACACTAGAATTTAATGTCTTCATATGCATGGAGAAGACAAAACTCCATCTTCCACAAATACTCGGTCGAATCCGTAACCATATTTAAAATCCTCCTTAACCCTACTCTTAAATGCTGGAAAGAAGGCTGGTTTCTCTAAAAAATAGATAATACGGCCATCATCCTCTGAATCTCTTATGAGAGAGAAAGCTATAACCTTCCCGCACTGTATAGACAAGGCATAGATAGTATTGTCCACACAACCATGGCCTTCCCCTGAAAACCACAATAATAAGCATCACTTCTAGCAATATTGACTTGATGTCGAGTATTACTATTTACATTAAAAACCATTAGCTCAACTCGACTACGACCTAATGAAACCAAAATACAACCGTAACAAACCGCGTAACCTGTTATGTCCATGTGGGCCTTGTCACAAGAGTATTCAAAATGGGGAAGGGATTCCCAAGATTCAGAATTAGGATTATAACGCTCAAACAATGTGTCGGACATCTTTACGAAGCATACTGGGGATGCAATATTATAGAGCTTGCCATAAGCAAACATAAAAAATGAAACTGGCTTAAGATGCTAGAGGGACGCTTTAACGTTTCTAATGACCTAGTCCTTGTGTCAAACGTATAACCACTATATGAGTCGTACTTGTAACGGGTGTTGACAAAGCAATTGAAACAGTTGAGCCCTTCATTCAGCAATAAGTAAAATTTGGTGTTAGAAGAACTTCCTGGCAACTTAGTTGTCACAGTGGCAGTATCTAAAGCCAAACTCGCACCTTCCACTCGAAAATATTCGTCTGGGACCACAAAAGTACTCCTATCAAAGAATGTGACGACATGATCGAGTACATTGCCTAGCCCCATCACTTGTCCTCCTTTTTGGATTTTTATTTCTTATAATCCACATCTATATGGACCAAAAACATAACGCACCAGCACATATACAGAGTTTAATTCCCCCTCCATGTCCATGGATGTGCTGAAAAACAATACTACAGATTTAACGATAATCCACCAGAAATATTTACCGTCAGAAATTTAATACAATACAACATGTTAAACATTGATCCACCAGAAATATTTACCCTGTCGCCCAAAAATTTAATTGAAGCTTCAAAAGAGCAACTGAATAAAATCTTGTAAATTCGAATATATATTATCAGAACACGTGAAAACCTTGTATATTTTGAACCGTGATCTAACCTTAGGGCAACAAGTGGCATGCTCAGAAATTCAAAACTAATCCAATAAAGAAATCTAACTACAAAAATCCAAATTCAATTTTAAATCGAAGAATAATACAAAACAAAACCCTAAATTTCGACAATAATTCAAAGCAAATACCTCGATTTTGGGCTCGAGAGTCGCTCGATCGAGAGAATGAGAGAGCAAAAGCAGCAGGTGCGTGTAGTTTGTCGGTGATGTGATCGAGACAGAGAGACTCGGAGAAGGTGGCTGACAGAGAGAGATGAGAGGGTTCGAGTTGAAAGGACAGAGAAGGGGCAGAAGGCGGAGTCTCAAAAATTCAGAATGATATAGAGACAATAATTCAAAATGACAGAGAGACTTGAAGAAGGTGGGCTGACAGAGCAGGTGCGTGTAGTTTGTTTGTGATGTGGTCGAGAAATTCAAACTGACAAAGAAATTCAGGAGGCGGAATCTCAGAAATTCAGAATGACAGAGAATTATTGTCTCGACCACATCACAGACAAACTACACGCACCTAGTCTGTCAGCCCACCTTCTTCGAGTCTCTCTGTCATTCTGAATTATTGTCTCCATGTCATTCTGAATTTCTGAGACTCCACTTCCTGGCCCTCCTCTGTCCTTTCGACTCGAACCCTCTCATCTCTCTCTGTCAGCCCACCTTCTTCGAGTCTCTCTGTCTCGATCACATCACAGACAAACTACACGCACCTGCTGCTATCTCTCTCTCATTCTCTTGATCGAGCGACTCTCGAGCCCAAAATCAAGGTATTTGCTTTGTATTATTGTCGAAATCTAGGGTTTTGTTTTGTATTATTCTTCGATTTAAAATTGAATTTGGATTTTTGTAGTTGGATTTCTTTATTGGATTAGTTTTGAATTTCTGAGCATGCCGCTTAGTGCCATAAAGTTAGATCACGGTTCAAAATATATAAGGTTTTCACGTGTTTCGATTATATATATTCAAATTTACAAGATTTTATTCAATTGCCCTTTTGAGGTTTCGATTAAATTTTTGGACGACAGGGTAAATATTTCTGGTAGATCAATGTTTAACCTGTTGTATTGTATTAAATTTCTGACAGGGTTAATATTTCTGGTGGATTATCGTTAAATCTGTAGTATTGTTTTTCAGCACATCCATGGACATGGAGGGGGAATTAAACTCTGTATATATGCTGGTGCGTTATGTTTCTGGTCCATATAGATATGGATTATATGAAATAAAAATCCAAAAAGGAGGACAAGTGATGGGGTTAGGCAATGTACTCGACCCTGTCGTCACATTCTTTTATAGGAGTACTTTTGTGGTCCCAGACGAATATTTTCGAGTAGAAGGTGCGAGTTTGGCTTTGGATACTGCCACTGTGACAACCAAGTTGCCAGGAAGTTCTTCTAACACCAAATTTTACCTATTGCTGAATGAAGGGCTCAACTGTTTCAATTGCTTTGTCAACACCTGTTACAAGTACGACTCATATAGTGGTTATACGTTTGACACAAGGACTAGGTCATTAGAAATGTTAAAGCGTCCTCTAGCATCTAAGCCAGTTTCATTTTTTATGTCTGCTTATGGCAAGCTCTATAATATTGCATCCCTAGTATGCTTCGTAAAGATGCCCGACACATTGTTTGAGCATTATAATCCTAATTCTGAATCTTAGGAATTTCTCCCCCATTTTGAATATTCTCGTGACAATGCCCACATGGACATAACAGGTTACGCGGTTTGTTACGGCTGTATTTTGGTTTCACTAGGTCGTAGTCGAGTTGAGCTAATGGTTTTTAATATAGATAGTAATACTTGGCATCAAGTCAATATTGCTAGAAGTGATGCTTATTATTGTGGTTTTCGGGGGAGGGCCGTGATTGTGGACAATACTATCTATGCCTTGTCTACACATTGCGGGAAGGTTATAGCTTTCTCTCTCAAGATAGATTCAGAGGATGATGGCCGTATTATCTATTTTTTAGAGAAACCAGTCTTCTTTCCAGCATTTAAGAGTAGGGTTAAGGAGGATTTTAAATATGGTTACGGTTTTAATCCGACTGAGTATTTGGTTCATTTGGGGAAGTTGGAGTTTTGTCTTCTCCAAGCTGCTGCTACTTGCAGAGAAGACGAGTCTCAAGAGCTGTTTGTCACCACTTTCAAAATTGTCCATGATGGAACCATGCATATCAAGACATCAGATTCTACTGTTTGTGATTTGTGCATTAAGGGTTATGGGCTATTTGAGATTAATTTCAGCTTCACACCGTAAGTTTCTTCTTGACCGTTCCTTTCCTTGTTATTTAAATTTTAGTGTTCGATATTCTGTTATATATTACGGATTGCAACTTTATTTGATTTCTGAGTATTTCGTACCTCAGAGAATGCAGGGATCTTGAACCCAAAAAAGAGGAGATTTTTTAAATGACTAGGAAAAAGGTGATGAATAAATGTGTTTGTATGACATCCTTTTATTTGTTAATACCTCTCTAGCAAAAGAAATAAATCGTGAACGTGTCTTAGAACTCTTAGGTTTTTTACCCGTCTTTAAGCTCTAGTGTTTTATAGTAAATTTGTGTTACACAGAAGACTGCCAAGAACAACTCCGTCTCGGATTCTAAAGTCCATGATGTGGACATTGAGGATAGTGATAGATTCATGCTGTAAGTTCACACCTTAAAGCTACTAACTTAAACTATGCAAGTTTCTTGCTTCTTGGTAACAGAAGACTTGGGGAAAGGGATGGTAGAGTTGTTTAATATTTAATAGGATTGACATAACATATCTAGCAGCTCTCGGTGTGATTCAATCTTAGTGGAATTTCTGGAATGATAGGACTTGTGGTCATTTTAGCTCTAGAAGATGAAGAACCTTAAAAGAAAGTTTGGGATAACTCAAGCAGAAATGTATCTACGTGATAGAGTATAAGAATCCCCTGTTTTGATAGATAAGCAGCTATATATTTTTCTTAAGAAAACCGGACGCTGTGAGGTAATTAAACTCAATATTAGCAGAAAATTCTGTCTTATTTTTTTGGCTTCAAAGGATAAAAGCCATGGAGATGATGGTGTGTAGTTAGTGGTGAATATTATCTGATGACTATTTATCTTATCCGACAGGAAGCTCCGAAACGAGACCTTAGTGAGATAAGATTTTGTTGTCATCGTTGTTGTTGGACATTTTGTTAAAATTGTTTTCCGAGTAGTGGCTGATCCCTAACTGAGAATTTTTTTTTTTTCCGTGCAGTCTACTGAGAAAGTTGGTTCTAGGCAATTGCCTTTTTAAATTTGATGGTTCGCGATTGGCCGTGATTCCATCGACTCTGCATTTTATGGTGGCAGTATTTGGTTTATGTCTTTTCTTTGCGCTGGGCCAACAAATAATCAGTTAATTAGGTTGTGTAACCAGAAAAATGTCAGATTGTGAATTAATTACCTTAAGTTAATTACTTGGCTTGCTTTCCAAATATTTTGGAGTTGTTTGTGATTTTGTACGTACGTTGTTACATTTACCTTGGTTATTCATCCTAATTGTTTGTGTTATTCAATGTTGGAATTCTCAATTGTATTTTCTTTCTTGGGTAATGCTAGAAAGACTAAATTTATGGACAAAATTTTGTAAACTAAAGTACAGGAAGTCGACGATTGGAAGGCCGATCGAACAAACACGGATCCGGATAAGGTAGATATATTATGTTTATGGTTGTATCATTGTTTTCGAGCACGTTGCCAGATTCACAAATATGAAACCTTTTCTAATAAATGTAGTGTCCATAACTTTGTTAGTTTTTTTGTGTTGGTATAGAACTTTACATAGAATTATACGACATTTGTATAAATGTGCGTTACTATTTGGAGGTCTTCGGTGCAAGCGTGGTCACATATGTGAATGACAATACAAACGGTGTATCCAAAATCACATTTGAAGACCATAGAAGAACAACAGCGAGGTGTATTGAAGGATTGAAAGCAAAGGAAGCCAAAGACTACTACTTCTTCACCTGTATAGTCAAACATGACAGCGTCTTGAGTCCTTCCTTGGTCACATTCAACGAGGAAAAGGGCGTTTGGATCTTATTGTACCAAAAATTCAATTGTTACCTCAACAATTGGGACTTGAAGAAAGAAATACCAGATTCAACGTCCCGACAAATGTGGTGGCTCAAATCAATCAAGTAATTATTTTTCTGCTGTTGAATTATCTTCATATCTTTTGAATAAATTTGCATCAATCAAGTAATTACCCTTCTTCTTTTGTTGTTTAAATATTGCAGGAGAATCCTGAAGAGCATTGCGTCCACCCACAAACAGAAACTAACCCACTCTGGTGTGGACAGGCATTCCAGTTATGTCATTCAAGACGGGGAATTAAAACTTCTAAACATCAAGTCTCAGAATGCTACCATGTCTGAAGCAAGCATGAGGGACGACTTCATACAATTCAGAGACTTTCTAAGGGAAAGGTTGCCAAAGACATGGAGGGACCTAAACTTGTTTCTGGATTTCTTCGACAAACCTATAGAGTAAGAATGCTTTGATATAATGTCTATGAGTCCCATTCTCTATTGGCACCAAGATTTCATGGTCACTCACCGTTACATTTGATATCAATGAAGGAGAGAATAAATAAATGTGCTTTAAATGTTTCTCAATCCTTGATATCAAATTCAAAAACGAGAGAGTGGGTAATTAACCATGCGTTCCTTAGTCACCTGGAACAAGACAACATTTATGCAATAAGTACACCTAACATATGTATTTCTCTCTGTCCCTCTAAATATGTTTTCTTGTTTTCTCAGGTTCGAAAGCTATGTTGAAAAACTCAATAGACACCCTTTCCTCATGAGTTCTCAGAACAGACTGAAGTACTTTTTCAGGATAGATCAGGCCTTTGAACAAAATATTATATCTCAACATCACTTTGGAAAGAGTTTCAAAGATGGTCCTTTTTCGGGGTATATGGGCTGGAATTCAACCAGAATGTACAACCGAATGAGTCAAGACCTAAAAGCCACTGTCGATTATGGGAAAAGTCATTGGATAACTTACGAAGGTCATCTGTTGGTTACGCTTGTTATGTTTTTGAGGAATGTCTATGTGCACCGTGCCAATTCTGGGAACTATGAGCTTCTTGACAAGGAGGTCAATAGATTATATCCTGGATTTTTAAGCAATTTGCACGAGTTATTGCCATCAAAGGAAGAACTGAATCGACCAACCGTCCAAATGGAAGCAGAAGGAGAAGCAGGCCAGGGTCCAAGCTTGAGGTTATTACAAGGGTAGTTTTGGATGAGACAAGCATTCGCTAGAATTTAGGCATCGTTTTTTATTAGTTTGAGCATATTTAGTGAAAGAAGGGTATATTAATTGCAGATGAAGTTATACCTTTGACCTTCTGATCATAGAGTTTTCGGTCCCTCATCATCAACGATGCTGCATCACCGTTGAGTGGATCTGAAGGATTTGGATAAAGCAACAGTTGTGGCAGGAAAACTTCAAAAACATTTAAAAGGTCTGCATCAAGTAAAAGCATCACCATATATGTGAGAAATCCAAGAAGATCAAATGAAGAAGGGGAAAAAAAAGCGAAACAGAATAGAACCACAAAACATCACCGACTCATTAAAGAGTATAATGACACAAAACCAACATTTCAGCGGTATATTGAAAAAAGAGAGTCAGAATTTTACTAAAATGGGATGATAATTACCAAACATTGGACTCCATGATTGGTTAATTACATCTAAAGCAGACAGAACCAGATCTGCAATTACGAAAGAAAAATAAAACAGTCGGTACATACAAGATTAACAACCAATAAACAATTACTCAAGTCCTGTTGCTTGCTAATGAAATTAATTAGAAACCACGTTTTCAAAACAACAGACTTACAAAAGGGATTTGATAATCAACAGCAGGATAATAGCATTCTTAATTTCTAAATAAACTTGATACTTGCGCCTTGTTTGACCCAAATTTGCCGGCGTGCCACTAGAAGCAGGGGCGTCAGACATTACTTTCTTTTGGACCATGGAATTCCACATTGAATTCATTTAGCCCATCGTTTATTGTCTCCACGTTATAGTCACTCAGCAGCCTAAAGTCATTGAGAAAAGAAGGGAAAACAAAAGCATTAGAAATAGTGTTCCAAAGCTTTATATCATACCAGAGATGAAGTTAGCAACCTGATTTTACAGCTACCAATAATCAGTGAGACAATCTTGAAAGATCACAATCATGGGAATCTTAACTCCACAACAGGAATTAAACTTTAAAATTGGATCATCACAATATGATCAAACAAATGCAATTCCACCGTTTTCTGCACAGAATAATAAAGATAAAAACTTTGAGCAATAATGGGATTCCAAAAGTTGTTCTTTCCAAATTATTAGACATACCCAGTGAGGCATTATAGCATTTCACCAAAAACTTTCGTTGAAAAATTGAAAGATTTTGTGAATTAATGTCATAAGTGCTTGTTAAGTCTAAGAATCAAAAGCAAGCTGAAATCTTTTGAAGATCTAAGACCTACCCAGAAAACCATATACAAATGAAAATTAAAGATAAAATATGGCTATATATATATATAGAGAGAGAGAGAGAGAGAATGGGAACTGGGTATCTTACAAGATCTACTCAATTGAAGATTTTCCCGATATCCAAACAGAAAATTGAGAAAATTTGGAAATGGAGAAGAAAATGCCGGGGGAGCGAATGTCGACATTTTCAGACCCACGTATTCATGGTTGTATTTGGTCGATAATTACCATGTAAAACCCTTTATTTTATTCAGCGGTGATAAACTCACCCACATGTAAAATGACCAGTAAGCAAATCAACAAACCCTAATTGAAAAAAAACCCAATCAGAACCCAGTAAGCGGTGACAAATTTACCCTAATGTAAAATGACCTTTTGCTTTCTTCATTTCTGTTCATTTAGTTCCTCTAGTTTTTTTTTTTTTTGTCATTCGTCGATTTCATTTCAATCAGTAGCATCAAACTACTACGTTACCAACATAAAGTTAAACATCGAAATCAACAAACCCTAATTGAAAAAAAACCCAATCAGAACCATGATTTAAAGGTCTCACTCTAATCTTCCGCGGAGGCTGATTCGTTCTTGGTGCTGTGCTTCCTGGCATACCTCTGGTTCCTCAGAAACTTGGGGTCATCCCTTTGGTGGAAGTGTGGCGGTGCCTATTAGGCTTCTTGATGCATGCCAATCTTCTGGGCCTTGCGGGACTGGTTGTGGGCAGTGTGATTCTTCGACTTGGCCATCTCGGAAAGAGAATGATGGATTTAGTAGCCCCTTGTGGGGGGTTTAGGCTGAGAATTTTTTGGGGTTTTCAAAGCGGTCAAGAATGGGGATCGCGATGGGGTGGCCGTGCAGGTGAGCTGCGTTTGGGAGAGAGGGGAGCGGCAAGAGAGTGGAGAAATATGTGATATTCTGAGGGTTTGTTATTTTTCTATAAATGTCGGTAACAAGGGAGGAAAAGAATTTTCATCCTTCAAGGAAATATAATCTTAATAAGAATAGAATAACCAGTAAGCAAATCTATTTAGGATTCGCACAATCATATTAATATAATACCGAAACGCACATTTTTTCTCCTCGGTGTATCTTTGTTTTTTTATCATTGAATTAAACAAGATATATACAACTATAGAAAACGAAAAATAAAGTGTGCATATCATTTCACTAATTTATTTCCCGTTAAAAATTATTGATGATTGGTTTTCTTTTCATCCTCAATTATGGTAAATTTTCGTGGTCATTTACATTTCCTACCTTGTTCGTTAAACTACAACATTTTATTTTTATTTTATGTTTTTCCTTAAATGTTAATTTCTTTTTAGAGAAAATTACAATCCCTACAATTTTTCTATATTATTTAAATTAATGATTTGATTAAAATGTTTTTACTAATAGGCACCTCTGTGAAGACCCGTCTCTAATTTTATATTTTTACAAATTTTAAAAGCGTGATTTTACGAAAATGGTCTTAGAGACAAGGGTATTGACTTTCGTGGACCAACGTATAGTGAGACATACGAAATATTTCTATAGTGTATCCTTGAAGTTCTCGATAAAATTTTTGTATATGTATTACTATTTTATATCTTTGCATGAAAAGATATTATTATTATTATTATTATTATTATTATTATTATTTTACAGATCTTCCCGAATTAGATTTGTAAGTTCATAAAATAAAATGTTGTCCGTCACTTGGTTTTGGCAATTGGCAGAGATCCGACCATTGGATCGCAATGAAACATTAGGACGTTGCTCTAGGAACATAATGTGGATATTTGGAAGTAACGGTTCGGAAATCCATGATGCGGATCTTCTGGATTGAATTACGTAGGGATGTGTTTTATGTAAATTATGTATTCTATCGGTAAGCACTATGAGACATGATTTAAAGTTGATTTATGCATATTACCTACATATAATTACTGTGAATGTTTAGAAGTACATGCGTGAACTACGAATGGCTTGATCCCTGTTTATGGTACGTAGGCAATCTAGCGAGACGTTAGATGCAGCCATACAAGAAGTGAGATTAAATAATTGAGATAATAGCCTTGTTTGGGGAATTGAACAATGTGAGGGACATTGGTGTAAAATGTGAGATTTAACCTTATGTGTTGGTGGTTAAATGTTGGTTATAAATCAATGTGTGAAGAATCAAGAAATTAAAGTAAGGAAACGTAAGTAATGATAGTTAATTAAACTAGTGTCTAGTTGGGCTTATCACCGATGATTATCCCCAAAAATAAATAATTTGGGAGGAGGGCATTACATGTGACATCCCGTCCCGAAATTATCTAAAACGTGCATGTGAAATGACATTTTTACCCCTAGTTTGTTTACGTTATGTTATTGGTTGTTTTGTATGTGTGTTGGCATGATATGGGCCACACACTCACACCCTCACTCTCCCTATTCCTCTGTCTCTTTCCCTGTCTCTCTCTCTCTCTCCCGAGCTCCCTTTCTTCTTCCTCTTCCTTTGAACTGGTACGGACACACACACAACTACACTAATTCACCACAGATCGAAGAAACTAAGGGCACAGTCGAGATCGTGAGGTCGAGGGGAGCACGATCATACCATTTTCAGGTATGAAATCCGTTGTTTTCACGTCGATTCGACAATGGCAGATTTGTGTACTGTTCATGCAAACATTGATCTAGCATGTTTTTGGGATTTTGAAGTTCATAGATGTCTTAGTGAGGTTCCCAGGAGTCTCGGAGTACTTCGTTGGACAAAATTGGACTTCGGAATCGCCTGGTTCGAGCTTGACCGGTTTTGGAGGTTGGTGACAGGTAAGTTTTCGTAGGTTTTAGCCCTTAAAACTTGTATGGACGTGTTCTACTAGTTTAGGGCTTTATTTTGGTGCAAGAATCATGAAAAATGGTTGAAAAATGAACGAGAAAACACAATTTGCAGGTTTCCCAGTTTCCGGCGTCGGCGACGGCGCCGGAGATTGAACGGAGAAGGTGACGGAATATTCCTGACGCCGTTAACGGAATCTGTCAATTTTGACGGAATATTCCTGACGGCGTCAGTTGACACCGTCAGCGTGCCAGGCACGTGCCTGCGCGTGGCCGGCGCGTGGGGCGCTTGCGACAGTGAAAAATTTTTCTAAAAATTCTGGTGTGTTCCTGAGGTTGTGTAGAGCACGTTGGTATATTCAATTGTCCATTTTGAGCAATGTATGAGAAATTATTTTGAATGGAAGGTTATGTGCTTTAAAATTAACGTTTTTATAGTATTCTCGCATATAGGTGACACGTATCCCGAGGACGAGCGTGCTCACGCGAGGCAGGGGGGCTACGACCCTTCCACGTACCAGTGAGTGGGTTTTTGTTTTTCCGTATATACCTATATACATATAATTCCCAGAAATTTATATAAATGCTTATTCGTTATATGCCATTCCTTTTATATTATTGGTGGTTATGCATGATTAGTTGCATATACGTTCATTTATACATTCAATTATATGTATATATATGTATATATTGGTGCTGTGGAGGCACAGGTAAGTGTCAGGTAAGCGTTATTTAACAATTGCATTAAATAGTGGTTAGAGATGATTAGAGAGCTCATAACCTGCACCCCCGGTGTTAGTGCTCCCACCCAGAGTAGGGCACAGTCCTTCACGTGTCGTTCACCTCCCGCACCACACGCTCAGCTTGGATCTAAGTTAGGTGCACAGTCTTGTCGTACAGACCACTATAGGTGGTTCCGACTCGTAAGTGACCCGCGATTATTCGCACAGTCTTCACGTGATCGTAGCACTAGAGCGTTTATATATATTACACCCAGGC